AGTAATTGGAACAGTTATGCAGAATAATGGGAGAGTAAAATGAATAAGGAGATGGAGTGGTATCACCCTACAGCCTTAAGGAATCCCTTGAGTTCAATGGTCAGGATATTAAAATGAGATCATTCAGCATTGTTGTGAGGTTTTCTCCTTTAAGTTCACTTATTCGATGATGACTTAGAACAGGTGACCAGTGAAAACAGTAAACATTTTTTCAGGAAAATAAAGTAGGAGTGTTGATAATGGTATTGAGGCTTTATGAACAAAAGAAAGAGATTATAATGAGTGGTCATAAGATGTAAGTTAGATACGTAGGAAAGACATGGTGAACAGTGAAAATACAGTAGTATCAATGGATTGATTGGAAGATGGGATGAACCTAGTAAAAATGAAGAAGAGGGGTTAGCTGTTACTGGTAATTTTCAAAGTTTAGATGGCTGAACTAACAGGGGCCAGAAGTCCATTGAAGGAGAATTTCTAAAGGAACTGCATGTGTAAATGGATATGGTAAGCATAGTGTATATGGATAGGAAATTTACTGAAAAGTTGCAGGGATAGTTTGGAAGAGAAAGATAGTAAGCTGAATTACTGAATTTTCAGAGAATGAGGGAGACTAAATTACAGATCTGGAGAGCTGTAAATAGCTGTGGCAAAAAGGGGCAATGTGTGTCATAAACTGTTGTCATGAGCTTCAAAATAGATGAGAGTTTGGAGAAAGGATAAGGAACATTGGTTTGTTTGTTGTGAATAACACCACAGATCATTATGGGATGAGTATAAGACTTTTGAATGGATATGAAGAATCAGGTAGGCCAAAATCATACGAGCATAAATTGTGTTTCTTGATTGTAAATACAATTGTCTGTCTGTTGGATCACATTGCTCCCCTCCCATTCAACAAGACTTGGATATTTAAGAAACCATTATCCTACTACAGTGGGAAATCAGTACCTTGTCCCATACTCCAAATAGAATTTCCTCACTCCAAGAGTAGCACTTCCATTACAATGCTATAAAACAGAGGGCACAAACTCAAATATGTACAGGAAATTTAAATAATTAAAGTTGTTAGAGGAAAGAAAAATCAACTACCAAAAATATAATAAAACACTACTTTTACATAACTATGTAGTAAATAACAATATAAGGATTATTAATCCTAGCAATCATATTTTAAATTAAAAAATAAAAGTAATGCAATTACAAAAAATCAAAACAGCTATGCATGACCTTTCTCTTAACTTTTAATTCAGTTTTGATATAATAGAGCTTTTTTTCTTAACATCAAAATGAGAATGTTAGATCTTTATTTTTCGATGTTGTAATTTGAACTATAGCATGTCAGAAACTTTTATAGCGATCACATGAAGATTATTTTAAAATTATATCTGTTACAATTTTAAATTGTAGTTATAAGTTGTTAGTGAATTGAAAATATGTTGAGTAAATTAAGTTTTTATTTTTAAAGGTTAGTATCTGTAATTGTCAATTATATTACTGATATAAGAATTTTGTTGGGAATGTAAAGATTAAATTATTATGACACCATGAAGGATAATTCTATCTCAGAAGTTATTAAAAATAAATCTTCTCAAAGATCAGAAGATTGCAAGATTTGTGAGGTCAGGAAGTGTGTCTGTATTGTTCACTGTTATATTCTTGGAACATGGAATAAGGCCTGGAACATAGCAGCCATTCAATAAATATTTTTGAGTGAGTTAACAAATTTATCTCATACCTGTCAAAGAATTTTTTTTCTATTAATGCTGCCTAAATGGACATTGCTATATAAATTTGAATAATTTTATGTCTCACTGAATGAACAAGTCACGTTAACAATAACATAAAAAGTAAATTATTTTGATTTTAGAAATTAATTTTGTAAAATCAATGTTCCCTTTTTTTGTTTCTTCATTTCCAGAAAAGTACAACACTACGCATTTACCTTTGAAAAAAAGATGTGCTTTAAAGTAGTGAATTGAATCCCATTATTTAAGGATGCAAATGCATTATTCTGTAGAATTTACACTTGAAAATATCAATTAGTAATAGGGGAAGTACTTATTTTGAAGGGCAGAAATCTGATCATAGGCTCATAAGCTATATAGGTTCATCTTTACCATGCTACAATACACAAGCCCAAAGAGATAACAATGTATCTTAGAAATCCTGCAGAGAAACACACCCCTGTCACCCATGCTTCAAACACAAGCGTATGATAAGTTTTGAGTATAGAAAAATATTACCCCCTTTATCTCATTCCTATCCCCAGCTATTCTGGCTAAGAAGAATTAGTGGAAGGACATTAGGCTTAGTAATCATTTTAATGCATGCCTCAGCCTATTTGTAGCTGTGTCTCATAGACAATACTGTTTCTTTAACCTTTCTTCTGATTGTTCTATTTGTGAATGGTTTTATTGTTTATAATGAGGTTTTGTGTTGTAGTTTTGTGCTCTTTGAGGTTTTTTTCTTTGCTTTTTTTTTTTTGTGTGTGTGTGTGTGTGTCTTATCTAGTTGCAATTACCTCTGTTTCTTCATGGTATGTTTATGTGTGGTTGTGTATGTGTGCATGCACCTGTGTGTGTGTGTGTTTACAGAGTACTCTGTAGACAAATTTGGAGCTCTAGATCTCATGAGGCTTCTGCTGGAACAGTGAGACTATCCAGAGTTGACCTCAGTCTAACTCAGTGTGGGAAATGTACATGACATAAATTAAAACTCGTTATGTAAATAGGAAGAGATCCAAGTTAACATAGTTTCTATAAGTCCCACAAGGTGTTACAGGTCATCTGACAAGATTATAAGGCTATTTCATTTATATGAGTCAGTATGCTCTGTATTACATTCTTCAAAGTAAGACTGTTTACTTTAGCTCCTAGGAAGCAGTCACATTACCATCAGTGATAATTACCATCATTAAAACAATACCTTAATAGAACACTAATTTGGGGGCTCTTGCAGTTCTTTTATAGGAAGCATTACATACTGAGTGGATGTTACATTTGCTTTCACACAAGTTCCTAATAATAGTGAAACACAAGAGAGCCTCCCATTGGGAAATGCCTCACCTCACCAAACACTACAGAATTTCACAGGAAGTGATTTTAATTCAGATATAAAAGTATATTCATAAAAATTCCAACTTGTTTAACTACTTATATTTTTATAAAGAGTGAACAAATACATAATCATATCATCAACTATTTGATTTTTAATTATAATTATATACGTTGGTGAGGAAAATGTGTGTTAAATATATCTAACTATTGGCTGATTGGTTTTAAAATATTGATGGAGCTGTGTGGAAACAATGGAGATAAAAATGTATTAAGTTTTAAAGTTTTGATTATCTTGAATATGTCTAGTATTTACAAAAATCAATCCTTAGATCAGTGATTCTCTCCTTAGGCTGCATTCTGGTATTACCTTGAAGTCTTAAAAACCCGAGTGTGCTGGATGCAACCCAGTCCAATTAAATCAATATCCCTACAGATGGGACCCAGGGACCTGTATTGTATAAAGCCTCAGGTGATTGTTCTGTGCAGACAATGATGAGAACCACTGAGGATAATCTGAATATGTGATTAGGCTTCAAGCTAACCTGGAAAACTTCTCAACAAAAGAATGATGTGAGTCAAATCAAAACACAATTTTTTATGAAGTTATCAATAACAATGTTTTCCCTCAAGAAAATGTTCTATATGGAGTTATTATCCCAAATAACCACTGATTTTGAAGAATTATAACCAATATTTATATATGTGTGTATATATATGTG